CCGTGGCAGCGCAGCGGCCTCCCGTTGTGCGCGGGCTGCTGGGGCCACCTGCGGGCCTCGCGGTGCCTCCCCTCTTCCAGCCGCCTCGTGCTCCGCAGGTGACACCGTTTTCTTTTCTCGCTCTTAGGACCTCCTCATTGTCCTCCTCCTGTTTAAAATTATTTTCCTTCCTTTAGTAAAACAGAAGAATTTCACACCACTCTGCTGAGCTGCTTTTTTTTCCTTACGTCTTTACCCGCTGCCTTCCTGCAGCCATTCCCACCTTGTTGTTCCATTAGTCTGCCTACAGCTGAAGCCGTTCCTGCTTTTTCAGGCCTGTGTTTGCACCAGCAGCGCTCATCTTTTCCAGGGTAACAGGATTTATTTGGAACCGTCACGGTTCAGATGAAGTATAGCTGTGGTGAGAGGAATTGCACGTTAGGAGGCTCTTGGTAGTGACGGTTGTGATGATGGTCTCATGTTATGAATTTCATCCTGTTCATTTAGAAATGAAATGAAACTCCTAATTCTCAGACTCCTTCACTCTGACTAATTTCTGAGGAACAGAACTAAAATGAACCGAAAAAGACCCCTCCACATGAGTGGAAAGATGTAACAGTTGAAAGTCCTCCAAATGTTGAAACTCTGGAAATGTGGAGGACAGCTGGAAAAGGCTTAAACACTGTTTTCCTATATATCTGTAATAATGAGTGTCTGGCAAAGGAAGACAGAAAGCAGTTTTATTTCTGACAAGACCTATTTAAGAAGCACTTCATATTTTTAGTAATTTTCAAGTAACTCAAGAGGAGGCCAGCTATGGAACTGTATTACTGAATTTACTGCAGTCCAAGTAGAAGGGAAGCATACCAGTAATACGCTTTCAGGCAGAGCACAGAAATGAAGATAAAGCATCTGAAAGGTATGTTATTTGGGGAGACTGAGCCCCAGCAAAGGGATCAGTTTAAAAACTAAGGTAAAATCTTTGACAAAGATCTTAGCCGAGAAAAACCTGCATCGTGCCAAAGCTGATGGGACGTAGATAGCTCTCACGTAGTGTTAGCTCTGAAATGCTATGTGAAATGACACGTGAGACAGGAAAGCACACTGAGCGTAATGGAAGGGTCCACGGAAAGTAGCATGTGGAGCTGTGTACTTTTTGGCATAGAAGACAAGCTAAGATAGTGATTTGGATTTGGAAAGAGATTGAAGAACTGTGAATTGCTACATCACTTGTAACATTTCTCTCTTGGATCTAAAGACGTTCAAAATATTAACTGTAAGACTCATTTTTGAAGGGTTGAGGTATCTGGGGAAAAAACCCACAGAATTTATTTGTGTGTGAAAAAGACACTGGATTATGAATTAACTTCGAGAGACAGATGGAAACAAGACAGTGGTCCAGTCAGCAAGCAAAAGTGTTGGGAAGCAGTGAGGAAAAACTTTTAATGTTTTTGACAGGTAATGTCAGAGTCAGAATTTATTCAGAGCAACGGGACATAAAATTAAATGTAAGTAAAGGCTGGAACAAAACTAATTATTAGATGAAGTCATCAAAAAGAAAACACTAAAGGAAAATTACCCTGATCTTACCTGTTTCTATGGGAAAGCCCATGAAATGATTCAGACACTGAAGTGGTGGCCTGTAGAGTAGCAAGAGAATCAGGAAGGCAGAGTATTGTTTTGTAGATTTTAAAGTCAGAAGATGATTTAATGATCTATATTTAAAATGCATGTTACAGAATCTGATACAGAAATTACTGGAACAAAGACACAATTTATAGCTAAAATAAAGCACGTGTTTTAGAAGGGTATGAAGCTTTCATGCTGTGGTTAAAATATAACTTTTCTTCTTCAGTTTCTGCAGGGATTGTTTCTGCTGATCAAAAAAAAGAGAATTGCTCTTTTTTCCTAGCCTCAAAATTATAGTATGCTATTTAACATTTGGAAGTTTCTGAGACACTCAAAATTCCTCCAGTGTGGTGACAAAATTGGAGGCACTGTAACAGAATGGGCATGTGCTTGCCGATTTGGTGTTTCATGCCTGACTCGTTTGACTGAATGGTATCTGTCCATCCAGTCATATGATGAAAATACATCATAGTAGAATATGAGTTTCTCAGTGACCTGCAAACATCTACCTATATTTGAAAATGAATGCACTGTTAGCCTGTATTAAAATTAGGATTGAGAAACTTAATATCATAGCTTATTTGAGTGCATTAGTACAACTTAATAACATTAGAGATCAGAAACCATCCATTAGAGATCTTGAAACCCAACATAAACAGAAATGATTCTTTCTTATATTCCTCTAAAATATTAACTCTAGATGTGGTTGTTCTTCAAAATTATCAGATATTTAAATGTTAGTTATTTATATTTACCTTGAAATGGGTACTAAAAGGCTTTCTTAACTTGCTATCATTTATAAAACTACTTTTTTTTTTGGAGTGTGGCTATCAGAATAGATTTATTTTGCATGCTCAAATGACATTGTGGTCATGTACCCCAAACGCCTTACTCAAAATATGTGTATAATAACATTTTTATTTCACATCATAAAACCTCTGCTTCCTAAGAGTTTGAGAAGTTTTACTTTTGTACATTCACAATCCCCAAACTATTCTGAAAAGTTTTCTAGAATCTGTTCTAATAGGGATCCCAAATTAAATTATAGGGAAACATAAGCTGCAATTGACAGAATTAATCTGAAAATCTGAAGTTGTCAGTTCATACTCACATAGCTCTGCAAACTATAAAGTAACATTATTGCAGATTGGCACAAAACTGTTATTCTGCACAATATTTTATGTTACTATAGGGATTTTGACAAATACATGTGCTGAATTGTAGTTTTAGAAGCTAGCAAGCAAGAAATTACAATTCTGTTGTACAGTATTATATGCAAGAAGATAATCATGTTACAGAACATTCCATTACATGTTCTGTAAATCAGTTTCAAAGAATATTTTCAGATACTCATCAGATGATATTTCATTATAATGACCATATAAAGGGTGGAACCCTCATTTTCAGTTGTACCCTACAGAAAAATTTCAGATCCATTTTTAGATATAGAAAACTGTTTTATATTTCTATACATCAAAAAGCTGACATTTGCCATATTGCATCTTGTTTATCACGTCATTGCTGTAAATTGGACACAGGCACAGAAAAATCTGTGTTTAAGTATTTTCATATCTTACTGTAAATTACTGTTTCTACTATAATTCCCATTTTTTGGCATATGTTTCTTTCCTCTGAAGATTTATTTGCAAATGTATGGACTGACTGGTTAAAAGACATACTAGATTTCATCTTGTGAGCAACCAAAGCAGAAACATTTTGAGAAAACTAACATTTTTAATATTCACAAATAATACATAGTCCAACAACTGCTATTCCATAGGTTGAAGTCATGCTTCAGATACCTTAATATACCTGGGTTTTTTTTCTTTTAGTTGGCAAGCTGGGACAACAATTTAAATTTGGTAGGAGTGTTATTACAGATGATATACTAGTGATCTTGTATGAGATCCTACTAGTTCTGTTCATATTCTTCCATCAGATAACTGAATTCAGGGAAGTTACAGAACATGGGTATTACTGCATTTAATTTCAGTTACATGAGATTTGTAAGAAGAGTTAATATATTTTATGTCAGGTGCTGAAAAAGTGAAAGCAGGCAAGTGGTGGATTTATAAGCTTTTCACGAATTCTGGCAAAGAAGCAGAAAACTCCAAATTTCAATAATCAGTCTTTAACCTAGGAAAGCTATGAAGTTTCAAGATAAGTTAGGAAGTAAGGTGAAAGGAAGATTGGATTACTAAAAGTTGTGAACTCTAATCTGCAGAATATTTGCTTCTGCTGTTGATCTTGGTAAGCTATTTGAAAGTTAGATGGGAAAAATAAGGATAAATTTCCTCAAGGGTATGGGTTTAATGATTTTCCATATCAGTGCCAGGGTAGTGTGGTGCAAGATGGGTATGTGCATGGCTGATGATTGTTTTCTTTTTGTACTGTAGCAAGTTTGTATGTGTAATTCACATGATGTTTATTTCCACAGTGATTGTTGGGTGAAAGTTGCCAGTGAGGTATGTAATAGGTATTCCTTACAGAGAGGATGAGAGATACTGTTTTTGCTGTGTTTTGGGTGATGGCTGGTGTTGTGGAAGCGGAGTGGCTAGTCAATGCCATTCTTGCGTTTGGTAATTTGGTAGATGGTAAGAGCATGGACATTACGGTATCCAAGCAGTTGAAGTTGATCCAGTTTGAAGAAAGGTGATTATAGACCTTGCAGTAGAAATTGATGAGAGAGCCCTAGCTTTCACTCCAGATGTAGGTTCAGTACAGTATTGATGTAATTACCTAAACAAAATATTGCACTTGCAGTAGCTTGTGCAGGTGTGCCATCCTTGTGTGCGTATTTGTGCCCATTTTTTGAATTAACTGTTGTCTGCTTGGAATGACTTTTCTGGATGAAGAGATATGTATGGTGGCCTAGACCTTTGTCCTGGTTTCAGCTGGGATAGAGTTAGTTTTCTTCTTAGTAGCTGGTAGAGCGCTGTGTTTTGGATTTAGGATGAGAATAATGTTGATAACGCACTGATGTTTTGGTTCTTGCTGAGCAGAGTTTACACTAGTCAAGGACTTTTCAGCTTCTTGTGCTCTGCCAGGTGCACAAGAAGCTGGGAGGGAGCATAGCTAGGACAGCTGACCCAGACCGGCCAAAGGGCTATTCCATACCATATGACGTCATGCTCAGTATATAAGCTGGGGGAAGAAGAAGGAAGGGGGGGACGTTCGACGTGATGGCGTTTGTCTTCCCAAGTAACCGTTACGCGTGATGGAGCCCTGCTTTCCTGAGGATGGCTAAACACCTGCCTGCCGACGGGAAGTAGTGAATGAATTCCTTGCTTTGCTTTGCTCTCCCCCATCCCACCGGGGGGGAGTGAGCGAGCGGCTGTGTGGTGCTTAGTTGCTGGCTGGGGTTAAACCACGACAACCTTGTAGAAACTTCCCGTTAGACTGGGATGCCATTCTGGGTTGAGTTGGTAGGCAAGTCTGATGCTTTGAACAAACCTTTTCCAGTATCTATTTCAGTACGATGCATTGGAGGGCTGCTGTTAACATCAGCATAGTTAGTTTATTTCCAATAAAGAAAACTAATGTACTTAAAGATCCTGCCTATTAGTAGAGAAACAAACATATCTCAAGTATGGAAATAGATCATGTTTATAAACAACATATAGGTACCTAATTTGTCAGTAACATTTG